AACCCCGGCCGGGATGAGGGGGAGCAACAAATCCCCGTGGTACCCAAGCTTAAAACAGCCAGTACAAGGGGGAACCGTGGCAGCCCCCTCCACGGCCCCAAAGTTCTTGCTAGGCTTCGCGGCCGCTCGTCCTCGCTACGACGCGGAGCTCTCCGCTGCGCTGGAGGCTGCCGGGAGGCTCCCGGGAGGCGGCGAGGGGGGTAAAGAAAACAAAAGCCAAGAAAAAGCCGAAACCCACCCGCAAGCCGGCAGAAAAGCGCCCAAGTCACTCCCTGCAAGTAGCTAGTGGCAATTACGTCGGCGAGACACAATTAACACATGGAACAGCTTCGTGCCAGCAGCCACCAGGCCCGCGAGTGCCGCGGCCACCCGCTTCCCAGCTCTCTTCAGAAACCCTCGACCACCCATTTGGATGAAGCTCCTTCTCTGGCGCCATCGTCCCCAACGGCCTGCCGAGCCCCAGGCCCAGAGATTCCTAATTACAAGCAAACGCTTCCAAAAACAGGTGATTTCAAGAAAAAAAATAGAGGGAGAAGGAGGCAAAAAATGAAAGAAACCCAAGCAGAACCACACACACACACACGTACAAATTTCTTCCAACCCCAGCAGGCAGGAGCCTGGAAAGCAGCTTCCCCGGTGTGTTTGCAGAGATGCAAACACTGTAAAAATGCCAAGGATTCTTTCATGAGACAGGCTGCAGCAGCCAGACCATTTTCCATCTGCTCCCCACAGCATCCCAGGCCTCCGTACGGCTAATAATCCACTCTCTGACAGGTCATTACGGAGATTTTTAACCCCAGGAGCCAGGGGCTAGCAGGCAGGCTGCAAAATGAAAAGCCCTGACCTCTCTTTTCCAGTGCCGGGGAAAATGCAGCATCAGGAGATCACGTCGTGCGCTGGAAACTCTTCCCGAGCCGCCCTGCGCGGTTCCCTCTTACCCCGGCACCCGCTTCCCGAGCCAGGGTGGGCAGAGGGAGCAGCGTTTCCAGCCCTATCCCACCGTCTGCTCCCATCTACCTGCTTATCCACAGTCCATTTCCTTGCCGGAGAGGTAGCCAGGAGTGCTGGAGCGCTCGGGGCTTCCTTTGTGCCCCGGATCCTCAGCGCTTCCTTTGTCCAGATGGGCAAAGCCGATAATGAGTTGGATGGCCCAGATTTGTAGCCTCCGCCAGTCCCCTCCCAGGGATCGGATCAGCCCCAAGACGGACGCCTGGTATCCAGCTGCAGCACGTTAAAAACACACCCAGCCGGGCGCCGCCGGCTTGGCCGAGCGGCCCCGACCCGGAGGAACTCCTGGAAGGTGGCGAGCTCCGAGCTCAACCCGTCCTGGAGCTGCCCCTGCCGCTCACCCTGCCAAGGAGCACGTGAGGGGCCGCGTCCGGCCCAAATCAGAGGCACCGTGAGGTGAAGACGTGCCCTGTGAGCTCGAGGAAGGTGCTGGGGACACCTGCATGGCCGTGTTGCAGCAGGACAGCAGGGTGACACCAGCAACTCTGCCGCCATGTCAGGACAGCGCAGGCTGGGGCAGCTCTCTGCTCACCCCAGGAGCTCAGCTCACCTACACATGTTTTAAGTGGGCCTATGTACATAAATACGTCGGGTACACACTTGTGCGTGCATGCACATATATGTAAAAACAAACAAGGGCAGCAGACGAGCAGGACTTTGGTCGGAAGCGACGCCAACAGCGCAGCAGCCGTCAGCACCGGCTCCTTCCTCCTGCAGCAGGAGGAAAAGGAGCCGTGACGTCCCTGGGGTCCCCCGAGACGAGAGAGACGGAGCAATGAGAGGTTTTGAAAACAAGAGGAAATTGCCCTCACCCCACGGAGGCGGCGCCAAGGGAGCCCACGCTCTGCTAACGCAGGGAGGCAGCGACACGGCCGCAAACAGGAGCGGCGAAAGCGCCCGCGTGAGAGGAGGCAGCTGCACAGCAAGCGCCCCGGCCAGCACCGGGGCTCCCCGGCTCCCGCGGGGCCGCAAGTGCCACCGCAGGCGCTGCAGCGAGGGGGCAGCGAGGGGGCTCTGTGCTCTGTCCTTGCCCTTCCCTCCTGCCGGGCGGGATTGATCCCTGCCCGACACGCAGAGCGTGTGCTCACTTGTTGGCCTGGAGAGCTGCCAGCAAAGCGTTTTAAGAGCAGTCCTGGAGCGCAGCTCCTGCAAGGAGACAGCTCTCTGCTTGGGAATGCTGCGCACACCCGGCACCAGACATGAATAATTCAGCTCCATTAGGTGCCCGAGACCTCTACAATCCCCATCTAGGCGCTGGGAAGCAGCCAACATATTAAGAGACAAACCTGAAAGTTCACTCCGGGAGCTAGCAGGCAACTGCCAGCGCACCTAGCGGAAGCTCTTCAGAGAGGAGCCAGGGAGCACTTCAAAGGAAGGCCGAGCAGGGCCCCGGCTCTTTGTGCTGAGGTACAGCTGCAGGACGCTCCGCGGAGGCCGCGTCGCCCTGGCTCGTCGCAGTGGGAGCGGAGGCCAGGCAAGCACCGCGGGGAGGGATTTGACACCCAAGGGTGGCCCGAGGCAGGAGCAAACGGAGGCAGAGCTGCCTCGTCCCCGTGAGCTCG